AATGAGAGGGGTGGTGGGAGAAAGAGCAAACTACAGAGGAGGACAAGGCAGAATGGAAGGAACTTAGTGGCAGGCAGGCGTATGCATTAGCATGTGAAGAGAGCTGTAACAAGTGCTGGGAATGCAGCATGGTCTAGTGGACATGCACGTGTGTGTTCAGTTTTTTTACTCAACTAAGAGCATTCCTCCAGTGCTCTGGTGTCTTTGGCTATCTTTTAAAAATGCACCAATCAATAAGCAGACCCACCAGTTATCCCAGATCAGCTCAAATATCCAGCTACAAAGCACAGTATGAGAATTCAAGATAGAGTGGTTCTATCATTGGCTCTGTAAGTGTGAACTTTGGGCAAATCAGTTCATCTCATTTTTGTCATCTTAAATCTGAGGATCAGAACCTGCTCCCCTCACAGGGTTGTTGAGACTTTAGGCGGTTTACAGAAATGACTGACTTGAGTTCCTTTGATGAATTGTCATAGAAGTCCTATTACTTTTATAATGATTACGACCAATACTAAAAAGAACATAAAAACCTCAATAGAGAACCAACCACTGCTCCATGCACTATGATTAAACTAATTACTTGTCATGATCTTGCTATACCACTGATGTGAATAGGAGGTGCAAAAAAGGAATTAGCAGGGGAAGTCATCTATTTAAACCTTCCATATAGGGACATACAATAAATCCTGTTTCTGCATTGTGTGGATCTAGAATTGATTCCTGGTGTGTCTGGATTGCCATTTTAAATTTAGGGATATACTTTGATATCTTTACTCACATTGAACAGTACCCGACTGAACAAATAGTCCTATTGATCTCATTAGGATTACCTGGAGACAGGGCTGGCTCCAGCGTTTTTGCTGCCCCAAGCAGCCACCCCCCCCCCTCGCAAAACAAAAAACAAACAAACAAACAAAAAAGCCGCGATCGCGATCTGTGGCACTTCGGCAGGAGGTCCTTCGCTCCCAGCGGGAGTGAGGGACCCACTGCCGAATTGCCACCGAAGAGCCGGACCCTCTCTGGTGTTGCCGCCCCAAGCACCTAGTTGGTAAACTGGTGCCTGGAGCCGGCCCTGCCTGGAGAGAAAAAAAGCTTTTCCCGCACGGGATAGTATCAAAAACTGAGTTAGGGCTGAAAACAGATAAAATAACTTTGTATTCTGAGGTGGTCATCTTCTAGGATCTTCTAGGATCTGAAACGAGTTTTTAGACTCAACTTCACAATCATTTCCTTGCAAAGTAGGAAAATATTATTACCCTATAATTCAAAGGGGGATGAATCTGTGGCTTACTAGGCAGTAGAACCCCTGAGTCCTGACTCCCTGTCCTGGCCATACTGTCAATCAGTTTTGACTTCTGGATCTGCATGCACAATCTTTTAGTGGCCACATTTTGGTGCACCAAAAACCATGGATGTGCAAGGCTGGAAGCATGGAAAAAAAACAACCAAGTAATGCTAAATACAATTGTATTTAATTTATGCTAAATTTTATAGATCACCCGGAAAATCTGGCACTCAGCTCCCACAGTAGTAACCTAAATAGAACAGAACATAATGTACATTTCAAAACTCTACTTTGTTACATACCATAGGTCTGAAACTTTCAGCCCTTCTTGGTAGACACATTTGAGCAATGAATCTAAAAACTGTGCTTAAAAGATTGTATTCAGCAGTAATTAATGTTTAAAGTGTCTGGATAAACATGCACACCCAACCTACATAAATGCTGATCCCCAAGAGGTTTGTGATTAGTAGTTAGCCTTACTTCCTGCCTAATATATTGGTACCTCTAGCTATTGTAAACGCTACTCTATACCGCTAAGAATTAGTCACAGTGTGAAGATTTCATTTAGCAATTATTTTTCTAGCTGAAATTTTACAGAAAAATAGCATGCTTCTACTTCTGTGGGAAGTTCTCCACATGCCAGACTAAATTCTGAAAATCTCCCACTCTCCTTCTCCTCCTACCCCTGTCTGAAAGGACTATGGTGCACCACTGCTAGTCGAGTGCTCTGGGCCAATAGAACACTGCAATAATTCCAAAGTGTGGTAGATTCCTGGGTCAGCAGTTGTCTGTCTTATGGAACCTACTGCACCATTCCTCAAGGCCACTTCAGATGCATCGGGTTTGCTCAAATACAGCAGGACTTCTATAAGAACAGGTTTTAAAATCTTCACATATTTGGCCTTCGGCCTCCCAAGGACTGCCGTTTGAGTGGGCCATATGAAGCGTGAAGTCCCTGTGCTTATTTTTGATACTTAAAAGGCTCATTTTTGAAATGGGGAATAGAATGTAAGAACCCTTTTAACCTTTAGTGCTCACCCTGAGGAAACTCAGTCAGATGAGATCCAGATACATGTGATTCTTTCTCTCTCCCCCACTTCTCCCTCGGTGTCCTGGTGTAAGCCCCACCTTCTTCCTCCCGCTTTCTTAAGTCTTAACTCTGCCTCAGTCACCCTAGTTCCAAAGAAGTGGCCTGAGGCTCTTATTCTCCTCACTTGCCTTATCTCAGCTGCTGTTCACATTGCCACCAGCTGCTGATATATGACACCTCCCTCTGCACCTTACCACCCAGTGGATGTGACTGGAGCTGGTAGCAGAAGAGACAGAGCACATTGAGAGTGCACAGGCAAGGCAGGATAGGAATGGCTCCCACCATGATACTGTACTTGTCCCCACATGCCGGCTGTCAGAAACCCTCCCAGCTACAAGCAGTACTGCCTTGTAGTCCTGATGAAACCAAGGGCACTGGCCTTAAGGTGCTGAGCACACTCCACCTGTGTGTGTGAGAGACACTTTTACAGCTCCTGAAGGCAAGATCTTACATGGTTTGTGAGTTTACCAAACCTTTAAAGTGACCGCACTGTAGTATTTTAAAGTGTTTCATTTTTTAAAATGCTGAAGGTGGATTTAGTTTGTGTTCAGGTGTGAGACAACTATGATTGGCATGAGCAGGCAGTGCAACTCACCCCCAAGTAGCTCTGCCAATGACCACCTATCTTGGCCGACTGTCCTTCTTCTGAGCCCCTCTTGGGCAGAGGGTGCTTATGATGAGTTATGAATGGGAACAAATGTCTGCTTTGTAAAATACTATATACAGCAAGTGTAAACAACAAGCTACAAATATCAAGATGCTAGCGTACAGACTGATCCTGCTCCCACTGAAGTCAATAGCAAAACACCCATTTACTTCAGTGGGGTGACACTGGGCTGCTAGGGGTTGGGCTGACTTTGTAGCAGATCCATGCACAGAGTAACTAACTTCGGTGGAGTTCTATGTGGATAGCAGCTGCAACATCCATTCCCCAAATGTTTATGTCCTCAGGTTAATATTTGCTAGTCAGCTGCTAAGTATCTCTTCTCAGAGCAAAATGTTGCCCTTGTTGCATATATTTCTGAACTCATTCTTCTCCTAGGCTCCACAGCCTATTATTGCAAATACAGCCAGAGCTGTGTTTATTAAAAGCAGACACCAAGACAGACTTGGGGTGGGGGTGAAGTATTTGTAGCGGTCCCCATATCTGTGCACACAAGTACATAAACAATTATTTGCTTGCACGGTTAACCAATTTGTGCATGAAAATATGGGTGTGCATATGTCACAGATGCTTGTTTCAATACAGTCAAAGTTTTGTTTAATACTGGGCCAAATCCCAAGGTTCTTACTCAGTCTTTACTCAGGCCAAACTCGCATTGACTTGAGGATTTGTGCCATTTATTTATGTTCTTTTCTATATAAATAACCACACTATATCACACGAGTGTTTTATCAAGCTGATAAATTATACCACTTTGATTCCCATGAGACAACACTGCATAGAAATGTAAAATCAGCATCAACTTAATTTATTAATTATACCAGGAACTTCCAAAACATGCATCTTGATCAAGTGTACTGTAAGAGTTAATCCTTCCCACTCTTTTCCTACTAAAATTCCAGCAAGGGACAGTGTTGTGCTTCCTGCCCAGAATTCTCCAAATGCTAACTTCAAACCTCTGGGTTCTCTTACAACTGCGCACTACTGCCTTTCCCTAGCTGTTCTCAGAGTACTGCAACTTCCCTTCGCTTGCTTAACAAACTTAGTAGCCTTTTTAAAGTTAATAAATCTAAGATTTGTGCTTTATCAGTTAGCCCTGCTGTTCAAACTGGCTCAGTAGGTCCTGAGAAGGAATTTGGGCTTGCTAACTGAAAACAAATTGAGAGTCTAGTAGATATAACTGGACATGAAAATAAGCCTTGTAAAAATACTTTAAGGATAATCAATAGTTAAGCATTTCCATATATCGGTTGATGATGTTTGTGGATTGTCTTTAGCCGACTGTATTTGATTAAAAATGGCTACAATTCATGCTCTTTTTTCTTTGCAACACGTACAAAAGCAATATCCCCCAAAGCAGGCTTACACTCGGACATGAGATGGGAAACTTATATATTTATAAAAGCCATCTCCCTTTGCTTAAAGCAGGGAGCTGTGCTCATAAGCTGGTACAGTATAACACCATTTGAAACACAGAAGAGACAAGCTTTATCTGGGTATTCAAGAAATATAAAACAGAAATGAACACCAATATTACAGCATTACATTGAAACAAACCACAGTAATTAGATGCTTTGAATTGAAGCCTATAGTTTCTTTAGATTTTTCATAAATTATTGATCCACCTTTCTCATTAAAACAGAATGGCATACTCTTGCAATAAATGGACAAGTGACTACAACATTTATATAATCAAATATACTCTGCATCTGGTAATGAAAACATGTTTGTGTGGAGAATACCCCTTCTGAATTAACATGTCTGCAAAACAGATTTACTAATCGAACCACATTCACTTTCTATTGTCTCTAAACCACGGCTCTCCTCTGCCACATTATCATGCAATCCAATATTTCACACCCATCATATTAAGCAAAATATTTTTCAAGACCCTATATCACCTATTGTGCACTAGAATATTTCGTGTCTATAATGAGATGTAAATAAACTGTCTGACTTACCTTATTTTCTCCATTTCTGTCGCAGAGGCCTACAAGAAATCAAATAATAGGAGCAAGTGAATGAAGGAAAACATTCACTCGGCAGATTTATGCATAGTTTAGGCTTTCCAAATGGCTTTTGACAAGTGTCTACAAAGCATCAGAAAACGAACCCCACATCTGCATTAGCAGAAAATAACATGGACAGATTAACTCAGAAATAATGCAGCACGCTGCAGAAACACTGTATACCCAGGAGCCATGGGCAACAGAATGACTCAGTTGTAGCGCTGAGGCAGAAAATGAAAAAGCAAGTAACAGGTTACTGTGCCGATTGGATTTCATAGGAAAAAGTTGAAATGCAGAGCTAGCCTGTGCATGGTAAGCACTATGGAAGGATTGTGCTGGCTGTTGAAATCAAGTGATTTAATCTTACGCTAATTTGAGTTCAATTAATCTGTTTCACAGATATCTTGCCAGATGGAATGGCCACAAGCATAGCATCCTTAGCAGGAGTTTTGGGTAATCAAATTAGTTTTTCCAAGTAATATTCTGTCTTTTACAATTAGCAGCTCAGTACATGTAGCCTGTACATTAACCCTTTCATACCTGCTTAGCAAGTTCACTGCTTAGAACTCCTTTAGATCTTTGAGTCCCATTTACCATATTTCTAACACAGAGTTCTGTTAACCCTTTGATTTCTCTTTACCAGAGCTGTAGCATAGAACCTGTTTATTAACTCTTTGATTCCTGCTTACCATATCTGTAGCCTTGAACCATATAAAGGTGTGATTCATGCTTACTACATCAGTAGCCTATAATTTAATTAGCCCTTTTGAGTTCTCTTTACAATATAGATGCTCTAGGACATTGTTAACCCTTTGACTCCTGCTTATTCATAGCATAGAATCTCATTAACCTTCCTGATTTCTTTTATATCAATAGCATAGAATGTTATTATCCCTTTGGTTTCCTAATCATCATTATCTAGCATAGACCCTTTGAATCCTACTTGTCATACCAATAGCATTGAACCTCCTTAACCCTTTGGGCTCCTGTTTATTGAAACTAGGGAATGAAAACTCAGAACAATTCTGCAATCCCAAGGTTTTAAGATCAATTTTACTTAAATTTCAGCATCCCGAAATCTCACACTGAAAGCATTACCTATTAATCATGAGTTCTTTAAACATCATTGATTGATTAACCATTGTATTAAATATACAATAGATAAAAATTAAAAATAGGTAAATGCAAATGTAACTGTTAGATAGCAGGATTTATTTGTCAAATAGCCAGGAAAACATTCAAAGTACCAAACTGTTGGTTACTCTGTGTTACTTTTCCCTTACTTCCACTCATATACTTTTGATTTGCCCATTACATGAAGCCATCAGTCATGTACACGGATACATAATAATCTCTGATGAAATGTACAGACGCCCCCCGACTTACGCAATTGTTCCGTTCCGGAAAGCCTTGCGTAACTCGAATTTTGCATAAGTCGGAAACATATACCCACGCGTTACGCAAAAATTTCCGCAACTCGAAAATCCTATTTCTGGTTTATGGAACTTTTTCCGTAAGTGTGAGTTTGCGTAAGTCAGGTCTTACGTAACCCAGGGAGCGTCAGTATGAAGAATCATAGCGAATCCAGTGATTCATTCTTGACTATATCCTGGTGTGCAAGATGCCAGCTGCAGGAAAAGCCCTTTCTAGCTACATTCTCATGGATGTAATGCACATAATGCAGTCAAAGCATGTTTCCTGGCAGCCCGGGACACTCAGTGGTAAATCCCAGATTGCGAGATTAAAAAATTACCTTGGGGTCCAGAACTGCTTTTTCTAATCATATCTTATTAATAGCCCCGTGTTTTTGCAATTAGCATGAATTGGGTTGTTTAAGTGGCACTGGTTTAAAGTTTAGCCTCTGGGGTTTTTCTTTGGGTGTGGAATGCTGGTGTATGGGGTGGTGTCTTATGGGATATCACTTGATTTCCCACACCACTACCCTCAAAAAAGACTGCAGTCAAGGGAGACTGGACACAGCTCCTTTCAGGGCTATTCAGCGCTGCTGTGAGTGTGAGCTGGAGGGGTCACTGCATGCCACGAGAGGCTGAGCTCATTGCTTCCATGAAGCTGCTAGTTTTTGCTGGCATCAAGAGAAAGTAACTGACCTTCAGACACTTGTCTGGTGCTTTGTTTTCTAGTTTTATTCAAGGGGCCGGGGGGATGGTTTGTGTAGTTAAAATGAAGGACTGAGAATAAAGAGTTCCGGGCTCTTTTTCTGGCTGTGCTACTGACCTAATGTGTGAATTTAGGTGAGAGACTTACTTTGTTGTGTCCCCGTTTCCCTCATCTGTAAAGTGGGAATAATTACATTTAGAACATAAGAGCGGCCATACTGGGTCAGACCAAAGGTCCATCTAGCCCAGTATCCTGTCTTCTGACTGGCCAATGCCAGGTGCCCCAGAGGGAATGAACACAACAGGTCACGATCAAGTGATTCATCCCCTGTTGCCCATTCCCAGCTTCTGGCTAACAGAGGCTCGGGACACCATCGCTGCCCATCCTGGCTAATAGCCATTGATGGACCTATCCTCCATGAACTTTAATTCTTTTTTGAACCCTGTTATAGTCTTGGCCTTCACAACATCCTCTGGCAAAGAGTTCGACAGACTGACTGTGCGTTGTGTGAAAATATAAATATATATATATTTAAACCTTCTGCCTATTAATTTCATTTGGTGACCCCGAGTTCTTGTGTTATGAGGAGTAAATAACACTCCTTATTTACTTTCTCCATATCAGTCATGACTTTATAGACCTCCTTCATATCCTCCCTTACTTGTCTCTTTTCCAAGCTGAAAAGTCCCAGTCTTATTAATCTCTCTTCATACGGAAGTTGTTCCATACCCCTAATAGTTGTTGTTGCCCTTTTCTGAACCTTTTCCAATTCCAATATATATTTTTTTGAGATGAAGCGACCACATCTGCACACAGTATTCAAGATGTGGGCATACCATGGATTTATATAGAGGCAATATGATATTTTCTGTCTTATTATCTATCCCTCTCTTAATGAATCCCAACATTCCGTTAGCCTTTTTGACTGCCGCTGTACATTGAGTGGATTTTCAGAGAACTATCCACAATGATTCCAAGATCTCTTTCTTGAGTGGTAACAGCTAATTTAGCCCCCATCATTTTATATTTATAGTTGGGATTATGTTTTCCTTTGCATTTATCAACATTGAATTTCATCTGCCATTTTGTTGCCCTGTCTCCCAGTTTTGAGAGAGCCCTTTGTAGCTCTTCGCAGTCTGCCTGGGACTTAATGATCTTGAGAAGTTTTATATCATCTGCAAATTTTGCCACCTCACTGTTTACCCACCTTTTCCAGATCATTTATGAATATGTTGAATAGGACTGGGCCCAGTACAGATCCCTGGGGGACACCACTGTTTACCTCTCACCATTCTGAAAACTGACCATTTATTCCTACCTTTTGTTTCCTATCTTTTAACCAGTCACCAGCCCATGAGAGGACCTTCCCACTTCTACCATGACAGCTTACCTACTATCCCTCATTAGAGTGCCATAGGGCTTAATCTGATACTTTTGTGAGCCACTTTTGAGATGCTCAGATGGAAGGGAACAGAAAAAGCACCAAGTGTTTTTTTATTATTAAGATGCATTTCAAATTACATAGTAAACTTTGTGAATTTATGTCATCTCATGTGTTTGTATAATGTCAAGCACAACTGGGCCCCGATTCTGATTTCTGGAGCTCTGGTTGCTACCATATTACTACTGGTAGGAATAGTATCAGAGGGGTAGCCGTGTTAGTGTGGATCTGTAAAAAGCGACAAAGAGTCCTGTGGCACCTTATAGACTAACAGATGTATTGGAGCATAAGCTTTCGTGGGTGAATACCCACTTTGTCAGACGCATGTATCTGACGAAGTGGGTATTCACACATGAAAGCTTATGCTCCAATACGTCTGTTAGTCTATAAGGTGCCACAGGACTCTTTGTTGCTTTTTGGTAGGAATAGTAATCATCGTTTAAATCCAAATTGTTGAAAAGCTTTTATGCATGGAAATGAGTGGGTTTTTTTGGCTGCAGACCTCCCAAGTTGGGAAGGGGGTTTGTATTAGAAGGTCAATAACAAAGATGACATTTAGGTTAGACTATTGCAATGTCCTCTGCACGGAGCTAAACATTAAATTGATTGGCAAGTGCTGCAGAATATGGCTGCCCCCTAGGGAGCCTGATAGAGAACACACAACACCTATGTTTGGGGACCTGCACTGGTTACCTATGAGCTCCTGTGAGGTAGGTTTTAAGATGTTGGTTTTCAGTTATAAGGCCTGGATCCTCAGCATTGCAATGCCTGACTTCTAGGCACCTAGGAAATTACAGGAATAAAGTCTGCAATCCAAAAAGCCTGACTTAGGTGCCTAAGCTCCTACAATGAATGGTAACTAAGAATGGGATCTACAAAAGGCAGCACACTCGGTGTGGAAACTGCCCAACTAGCCAATGGGTGATGCGGACCACAAGGCTAAACCCCACCCCTCTCACAGAATTAGGTGCCTGTCTCTGCTTGCAATCCAGAGCTGGGAACCCCTCTATTGTAGTCAGGCAGCTTAGGGTGTATGTAGGTGTGTAAGTTCCACATTAGGTGCCATTGCAATCTACAAAAATCGTGCTGGGCTGCTGCCTAACCCTGTAGGTACCTAAACTCACTTGACACCTACGTTTTCACTGTAAAAGGTCCCTAGGTGTCTACATTTCTGCCTCTGGGCACATGTGCTGCAGCCTCATTCTAGGCATCTGGACACCTTATCTCCTGCCTAAGCCCCAGAGCGAGCTAGGTGGGTAAATGCCTATCTCACCCATGCTGCTCAAAAGCTGCCTAGCAGGGTCCCTGCCAGATTTTGAATGGAGGAGGAGGTGCCCACCTTATTACTTCATGGTTAGAGCACTCACCTGTGAGACCTACATTCAATTCCCTCCTCAGGCAGAGTGCCATTTTGGGCCACCT